GTGTTTTTTTTTTTTTTTTTTTTGTGCGAAAGGTGTCCGCTTCTGTTTGTTTACTTGCTGCTATCTATTTCAGTCCAGAATCGTTAAATTTATTTTATTCAGGTTTGACGAAAAACATTCCGCTACCGACCAGGAATTTATTTGTTGGAGTAACTGGAAGAGTAGCTTAATTTCTCAGCACCTGTTCACTTTACAAGTCAAAAATACACAACGGCACCTACCAATAAAAAATAAAAAAGCCAGATAAATAATGTTTTCTGTCGCCGGCCGCACGTAGAGCATCCTGAAATAATGGCGTTCACAGAGCAGCTGCCGCTGTTTTTTTAGGATGTGTTATTTTGTTAAAGCAACATGAATTCCAGGAAAGAGCCAAAATTGAAGCGTCATAAATCTGAATCAAATTAAAATAAATTGCAACTTGCGAGGTTCTGGATGTTAGATCTTTGAACCAGCGGTTACAAAGAATGTTTGAAAAGCCAGTAAGGTTTGTTTCAGTTCAGAGCGATATGATGGCTCTTAGTGTGCTGCGGATTCGTAGATCGGCAGCTCATTGGTTAGCACGACAGTACAACAAACCTGCGACAACAGGGGCTCGATCCCCCTTTGAATCCTTTCAATTACGCTTCCTGAAATTTAGAATATGAAAAGAACTAAATTCTTCTTAACACGATGGGCGTAGATTAGTCAATCATTGAAGGTGAGAATTCGGGCTCTTTTAGAAAAGAAAAACTGACCAGAAAGCTGGTTGTTGGGAAGCACCATCATTATAGGGGAAGACGGGCAGGAAGCGGGAGGGGAAAAGGGGGAATGAACTGAGGAAACAAGGGGGCGGAAAGGAACGCAGTAGCATTAGAGCAAAAACAAATATTTGGCCCTAGCACCGGAGAAGTGAGGGCATTCCATTTTGATTGTATATTTATGCAAATGCAAAAACGCAAGTTGGCAAAAGGTTGTCTGTCTGTATTTGTGCTTGAGTGTTCGCATTTTGTCATTTACATTCAACTCAGCAACCAGAAAAGCTAGGTATTGTTCTTGGAATCACTTACATCAAGCAACTTTTTTCGGCACAGTCGAAAATGAACCAGCAGCTGTATATATTAAGCACTATTCAAAGTGTGTACGAGAAGCTGGCATCTGTCAGTGAGCAATAATTTATTGGTTTGATTCTCTTAGTGGGGAAACCAAACTCTTTACGGTTCATTATCATTTTGATGGCAAGTTGACAGAGGCTCGTCCCAAACAATCGGAACCCTCATCGGCTTGCTGTTTAGCATGTCTCAAAAGAGGATGCCATCAATAGCCTTGCTGCTACTAGTACCATTCAGTTCACTTTCAAGTACAACCGTTTCCAACGAAAGGAGAATGTTGCAGGCGGTGGCTCAACTCATGGTGTACCATTTTCGTTACACTCCATGCCCAAAACTACAGCCCGGTAGTTAATAAGCAGCTGGTATAAATACAGTCTTACACTATCACAGCTACACGAAATTGCACCTTAACAACACCTCCCACTCCTTTCGCCCCGCTAATAATTGAAACAAAAAGAGGAATTGAATTTTATCGGAGTCTGGTATGAAAAACCGATAGCAGGGCAAAACTCTTTCTGAGCTCCTTGTTTTCAAAAAAAAATTTTTTGTAACTCAATCATCCCACCAACAAACCAAATTTTTCAGCATAAAATCATATAAAATGAAAAACCATGCCACTTATGCTCAACTGTTAGTGAAGAAATATAATTAAGAAGCACTCAGATGTTTAACGGCGAATACTCTTGCATACTGCGAAAAAACCTTCAGGTCATGAGAATTTTTATGTAAAACGAGTGGAACGGAAAGGAAAAAGAACGGACAGTGAGAACAAAAAACTTGCAGAATTCAATGAGGAGCCAGATGGATGTGCTCATCGTGATGATCCAAGTAAAAGTGAACGGAAACTGAACTGAGCTGGACTAGACTGAGCACAAAACAAAGCAGGTGCGAAGGTTGGTGTTGAACGATGTTGCCCGGGCGGCATTCGATCGTGGTGAACAGCTCGCTGCTCGCTTTTCTAGAACACTAAAACCAATTAGTGGTTATGAAAAATTGCATGCTTTCGCCGCAAACTGATGAAATCAGTCCCAAAGAATCCAGTCCCATGATTACTGCAACGAACCGAACCATAACAGCTAATACTGATTTGAGCTACACACAGATTTACTCCTCGACGATTTCCTCCTTTGCGCTTGATCGCTGGAAGCTGGATGTGCTGCGGATCCCCATTGCACTTAGCATTTCTCCAACCTCACTTTTCCCTCACTCTCGTAATTCAATCTTCCCCTCCCGCCCCATCCCTCGCCTCACTCTGAAAACTCACGAACAAAAGAAGCTTCATATTCAAAAAACAATAGTGAATTCCTTTCCTGTCCTCACTCTCATTCTTTTTCCCTACCGAAAATCAAAAATTCACTTGCGCTCTTCATTTTTGTTTTGCAAGAAGATTTGGAGGCCCTGAGTCTCCCAGTTTACAAACCAAGCCGAATTTAAGAGAAAGCTGTAGTCAGATTTTTATTAGGCTCTGTCAATGCCAAAATATGCTATGTGGGCGCTCTTGAAACTTGCTACGAGTTACGAAAGCTGGGCTCCGCAGAAGATCTCGGTTCGTGAAAATCAATTTTCTAAGAGCCATCTACTGTGGGACTGTCAAAGGAAAAATAACTTAATTGGTATACTTATCTGTAAAAGCGAACAGGCTTTGCAGAGAAGCATATTTTTGGAAGGGAGTTAAAATTAATCACACAATTTCGGACGTTTTACTTGCATGCGTAGTTCTGCTGACAGCTGCTAGCATCCGGATAGAAGCCTAACCCTCCCTGCAGATCTTTTCATGCAAAATCCAAATCACACTGCTAATGGGTTAACAATTAAACTTGACTAGCAGCTCATCTCTTTGAGACCCTTGCGGAGTCTGAGGAAAGAAAAATTCATATGCAGCTTTCTCCGATTCTTCGAGAAACGCGCAGAAAATGTCAGTTTTGTGTGGGAGCAGCACGACGAGCTCTGGATATGCTCGGAAGTAATGGCAGATTTCACTGAAGTAAGGGCGATGGAAACATAAAATATCCGTGGAGCCTTCATGTTTTTTCTCGAACTGTCTTTGGCCGTTCATTTTTTTTTTATTTAGACTTGTCCTCCCTCCACTGAACAAACAGTCTTTTGCTGTCTAAGATTCTCTCAAAGTTTCAACTTCGTACAATGCCAGGGTCAGCTCTAGCAATCCTGAAATCAATTCTTATGCCTTACTCTCCCTTGAAGAACTAGTCTTATTATGGCAGCGGGATCAAGGAATAACAGCACAGACACTAGTATCGCATGTAACTTTCGAAATTGAACTTTGCAAAATACCACACAAATCCATTGGGGTTGTATAAATAATTTGGTCTTGCAGCGTGGGACAATGGACGTTGTTTGCAACGGCACTCTGTGGTGACATGGATTTTTCAGAGCCGTTATTTTATACTCAAAAGCTTGTAAGTACAAAGTGCTAAAAAGCCATAGGCTTCATTTCACTGTGATAAAAATAAGTACCGATGAATATCAGGTGGGCGGCAACGTTCTATGTTTTTGCAGTGGGTAAATCCAGCAAAATATGGAGGAGTTAGCTCTACTTTGTTACTGTGGCTTTTGCAGCTATTTGTTAAGTAAAAACTGTAAAAATTTCCGATGCATAGCTTACTTGTCTTTTTGCACGTAAGATTATAATTATGATTCAATAATGGCTTAAACCAAATTTCGAGCTAGCAAGGTTTGCTGAATGAAATTTCTAAAATTATTGTAAAAAAGCACCGCTTTTACAATTACTTTAAAATTTTTCATGTTTAATTCTCGAAAATGTTTGTAAAAAGTTTTAGAAGAGTTGTAAAATATTCCAGAATAATTGGAAAATAATTGTAATAATGAAAAAATAATTGTAAAGCACTCCCTCATTATCAGCTGCATTTCCAGATCCTTTGTGGAAATTCAGCTACAGTTTGCCACAACAAAACAGTGCAGGGTGGTAGCGGAAGAGGAGGAGGGAGGTGTGGGGGAGGAAAGATGTAAGAATGAGTGACAACTGCCCTGTCTCAAATGTCTAGAAATAGACCAATAAGACAATATAGATAACAAGTAATTTGTTTTCTTAAGAAAAATGCAGTCGTCGGGAATCATTCTGGTCACGTAACAAAAGATAACGCCGGTCTGCTATAATTACAATCAAGAACACACACAGTTATTCGCCAACAACTGTTTATCAGTGCAGTGCATTCCAATCGCTATAAATGCAAACATGCATAAATGCGTGAATGCATGCACGTATAGATGTACCTGCGCACATTAATGCACTTCTAATAAATATACATAGTGTGCATTTAATTCTAATTATATCAAACTGGTGTTACCCGTTAGTAATAAATAAATATGAGAAATAAATAATAAATACATTGATGCCGCAACAAATATAAATTTCAGCGTCACGGTTTGCTTAGTTCTAGAGTTGAAAGAATGCGAATAATTCAATTATTTCAAATTTCACACTTCTTTGACACATAAGAGTTCATGATGACTTAAGTTTGTAGATCTCAGAAGCAGTGCATAGTCGGAGATTATGCTTACAAAACTGTGGCTTCTGAGCTTCTCTTTGTTGTGAAGTTCAGATAGTACCAGCGATTTTGCAATTTCACCTTTGCTTGTTCGTATTCGAGATTGATACATGTGTGAAAATTCAATAAATTTGCAGTTCTGCGTGTGGACTTTGCGAAATCTAAACTTTTTGCCTCATCTTGTTGCACCGAGGTGAAAAACCCGTACAAATATTCGAACTCACGCACATACACATACATACATACGTACATACATACATACAAACATACGTACATACATACATACATACATACATACATACATACATACATACATACATACATACATAC